TTTTTTTTTTTTTTTTTGGTACTGGGGTTCAAACTCAGGACCTTGTGCTTGGGCAGGTAGCAGTACCAGTGAGCTAAATCCCCAGCCCTTCCTTGCTCCACTACTTTTAATTTGCACAAAATTACCAAAAGCCCAATCCCTGAATTCTAGTGGCTCATTCCCTGCCTCTAGAAAGTTGAGAGAAAATGGAATTCAGACCTATGCATGAGCATGGAAATTATTGGTATTGCCAATACTACCATTAACACCAAGGCCCATACCACAGATCCAAAGATAACCAGGTAAAGATCGAGTATAGCTGGGCTTGGTAGCTCAGGTCTATAATCCCAAGTACTTGGGAGGCTGAAGTAGGGGATTTCCAAGTATCATGCCAGCCTGGGCACTTTAACAAAAACTTGTCTCAAGATGAAACAAAAAAAGAAAAAGAAAAAGGCTGAGGATGTAGCTCAATGTGAAGGGCCTGAGTGTTCAATCCCAAGTATCACAAAAAAAATAAAAATGAAAAACTCAGTTTAGTAGAGCATCCCAAATTCAATCCCCAGAAACACTCCCCACCCCCACCGAAGTCCTTTTACCTCATGGAATGCAAGCAGCTCAGCCTTTAGCAGCAGCCTCATCTCCACTAGCCCCATTCCACATCTATTGCCAATACCAAACACTTACCGTGTAGGTTTTTAGCTAGCCTGTCTCAGTTGCTGGGCAACCGTGCCACTTACAGAGAAGCACTTAGAGCAATTGTCCTCTGGTTAGAACCAAGTTTCATAATCTTTGTATAAAAGAGAATCAAGAAGCTCTGACAAGAGGGTGTCAGGAAGCAGGGATAAAAAAAAGGTAAAGCATGAAAGGAGGGCCAGACTGTTTTGGGGGACTGAGGAAAGGGGTGACAGGGAGGATCTCCTTGCACCCACACATGGCAAATGCTCACTTTTGTGCTGACATGTTTGCTGGGCGGCTCGCCCCCTTCCTTTTCCAAGCACTTCACGTACAGTAGTATACAAATGAGGGGTTCACCAAGGGATGACCAAGGAAGCAGTTAAGTCACACTCAAGGAACTAGGACTGCAGCCAGTCTCACAGCTGTCAACCACAAGATTTCAGTCCACACTCCTTGCTCTTGGTTTGTCCACACACCCTGCCTGTTAAAAGTTCCGGACTCATCTCCCCATCCCAAGTAATCAAGCCCTGTAGACTGCCTTATCTTTGCTCTGTTCCTTTGCAAAAAAGCACCTCTCTTCTTAGCAGGGGCTGGCAGTGTTTCTAATCAGAGCCCAAACTTGTTTATTGGGAAGCAGTACAGTACAGCTGTCAGTGATGAAGAAGAGCTGCAAAGTCCTGATCAGCTACCAGGATGAATCATTGCTCTTCCCCACCCAGGACACAGTTTCCATGCATGATGGACACTGGATTCCAAGTGCTTCCACCCACACTCTGGCACTTTCCTTGATTAATATAGCACTTGCACAAGGAAGCCCAAACTTTTTAGTCACACATCAAAAGAAAAATGGAAGCTCACAGTTATGTATGTAGAACCATAAACCAAAGACTAGAAATATGAAGCATGTTTAATTACATGCCCACCTTATTATTTAAACTGTTCTCCCCAAGTAATTTATTAAAAAGTATCATTTGGAAATAACCAGGGAATGTTCTAGCATATTATATGGACAAAGTACTTACTTCCCACCTACACACTCATCTTCTTTGGCCATATAATTAAGCATCACATTTTACAGAAATATTAGCAACTCCCACCAGTACACGGTCTGCCTCGTTGCCCACCAGTCTGCAGACCATTCAGGACATTATCCAGTCTGTTTGAGTAAAGGTTCCTAGCCATAACAATGGCCTCAATTACTTGGAACTAGTGAACAGTGAAGACATAACCACATTCATTATGAACACAACATGACAAGGATTGAGAAATATAACAGCAATACAAGGATTCTAAGCAGCTTAGAACTCAAACCTTTATTTATGCTGTAAACGGGAGGAAAAATGATTAATTACATACATGATGCAACAGCAGACTTCTTACCTTACAGAGCAATAAACAAGTACTTTTAACCACCTACTTTTACAGCTCTCATTTCACAACAGTATACCCGAAAATATTTCCCCATACAAGCATGACTAGTGAGGATTTCTCCACACACGCATGATGAATACACTAAGTTCCTACCCAGAAGTACTTTCCCACACAAGCGTGACTAATACACTTTAAGTTCTACTGACAGTGACTCAGTCACTGGTGAGGAACTAAACTACCACAGCAACATACTCTGAGTTTTTAAAAAGGAACCCCAAAACAAAAATATCTCAAGCATAAAAATATTGAGGTTTAAACTTTTTAAAGGTGAAATTAAAGGAAAAACATTTAAAAGCCACTGATACTACTTTACCAACTAAACAGGTCAAAAGCAAATGATTTTCAGTCTCTAAATTTTTACAGACCATATCTAGTAAGGTATCCCCTTCTCAGTTTTGCTGTGTCCCCAAATGAGTGAGTTTTCCCTCTAGCCCGGATCATTTAAATAGCAAATTCAAACTAAATATGCAATATATTATTCAGTGTAACCGTGGCCAAGATATATGGATTGTTTGCTACAAAATATCATAGTAATTTCAGTGACCATAAAGCTTGTTTCCTGAAACTGGAAAAGATAATACTAAGCGAGCAAAGTTTTTATAATTACTGACCTATCACAGAAAATGTCTTACAACACACAACTTAAACATGAAACCCTTTTAGAAGGCATCACATTTGCACTATGCTCAGAATTATCCATTACAAATTATCTCAGTGACTAATATGAATTACAAGCCCAGAATAACCCATTTATTCTCAAGGGCACACGTAAGCGTTAAAGCTTGCAATTTAGACACTTAAGTCTTTCCTAAGATTTATTACCCCTGAAAAAAAAGAAATCACACACCCTTACAGCTTCATATAAAACACCTGGATGTGGGGCTGGGGATTTAGCTCAGTGGTTCCACTGCCTACCTCACAAGCGCAAGGACCGAGTTTGTTCCCCATACCAAAACCTGGATGTGTTTGACACCATTTTTCAAATGATTAAATATTCAGTTTTAGTAACCTTTTCAATTTTCTCCACTTTTCAACAAAGCAAAACAATTTTGCTTTTTTCATTGATCAAGTTCTAAGCAATTTTTATTGCTTTTAAGCAATTTAGCCAGCATTAACAATTACCCTTATTCTCTTCACCCCTGAGTTCTGTTAAATTCTCTACCACCCACACCCCCAACTCTTGCAAGCCACATTCCCAACCTCCCACCGTCCGTGCTGTATCCCCCCACCTTTTCTCCCACCCCATCCCACCTCAGGAACTACCCCCCCCCATTGGAAGGCCAAGTAAAAACCAAGTTTAAATAAATGGAGTAAGAATCAAAGATCTGGACCGGGGGCATAGCTCGGTGGCAGAACTTGCTTCGTAGGCATCAGTTAAATTTCATCGCCAGCACACATATATTGTTGGTACACCCACCACCCATTCCCTTTTCAGTGACTGATGTCATCAGAACGTCCAAACTAGATACACCACTTCCAATACCCAGAGCTTGGGCACAATCAACTTGTATCCAACCAGGCTTCAATTCAACACAATACTTAACCCACCACCCCCACACCAATTTGCCTCACCGTAAATACCCACATATCCCCTAAGACACTTACAATCGAACAGCTTCCCCCAACACCCAAGAGTTTTATCATTACACTAACAATTCCTCTAGGCAGTGCACAGGCAGGGAGGCAGAGGAGGGTAGGTGAGAGGTCACTGGGCTCCATCTGCAAGCGCCATCTACAAGGCATCTCTCTGCGTTGTGGCATCATTAAAATGTTCTACAGCTTAATCTTCTTGAAGCAAGGTTCGTAGCACAGAACTACAATGACTCGAGGCTCAATTTAGAAGTTGCAGCATCTGAAAACCTCTATCCCCAGGAAACGAGGGGGTGCCTGAGGGCATTCACGTTCCCTGAGGATGGTGCTCCTGGAAAATTCATTCAAAGCTGATGGCCCCTCAAGCCGGATGCATCTGCTTTGGATTTCTGGACTGCCCCCCATAAGCTCATCTTAAAACTTTAATGGCGGCCTCCTGAACAAAGAGCTTCACGAACGAGGCCTGGACACATGGCACTGGAGAACTCCCAAGCCTCTGGAATTCAATCTGCAGACTTCAATTTAATCGGGCTGTCTCCTTCAGGGGTCTCCCCTCCTGTACTGCTACGACTCATACTGGCAGGGGCTCCATTTCTCCTGGTGCCATCTGCTCGCCATGATGAACACTACAGTAACAAACCACGACCATGAGGCATGTGACTTTTGAATTAAGCCATCACTGCTGGCCCACCCAAAGGTGCACATTCAATCCCCACCCTCTCCAAAAACAGCACAACCCGCCCCACCAACCGGGAGTCACAGCGGGCGTGGGCCTTTCCTCCTCCACCATTACCAAAGGTACCGAATCCAACAGCAGCTCCAGCGAGTTCCCCAGGCTTACCACCAGATGACAGGTTTAAGTGGAGGGACAACCTCAGAGAGTTAGAGGGAGGAGGAGGGGTAGAGTGAGCTCACAGAAGAGATTAGCATGGAACCTAGGTAAAGTCCAGTGGGGGCCACTATCACCTGGAAAATAAAGGTCCGTCAGTGTTGCCTTCAGACACAAGCATCCTGCCTCAGCAGCCCCCTCCTGGCAAACAAGATGCCACACCAGCCACGGGTGAGGATGACTCCATGCCTCTGCAGTCGCTCCTCAGGCCACCCCTCACCTCCGACTGAGGCCTTGCCTCACACCCAGACCTGGGGTCCACCAGGCTGAGTCCACATTACCTACCACCCTGGGCCACAGCTGTCTGCCCCGCGAAGCTAAGTCCAGTTTCCACAAGACCAGGCCTCATCCCCAGGTGGGTTCACACCCCTTTGTCTGCAAAAAAGGGGGTGCTGCTAGTGTTGACAAGTTCAAAGTTGGTCCTCCCTGAACTCACTGCCTGCTTTTCACTTTCATTACAATGGTATCAACCGATTCCACCAGTCTCTACCTCCTCTCCTCTCCAGCTGCCCACCTCAGCCTGACTTCCTTTCTGCACATAAATCATGGCCCTAGGGTCAGCTCAGCTCATATAAGAGCCTCCTCCTGGAGTTCAAGTCCTCCTGTCCAACAGGCAGCAGACAGCCTGGACTGGAGTAATGCTGCCCTCCCCATGGGTTGTTGTGGAACTTTCAGCGCAGCCTTGCCAGCGAGGCCTCCCAATTTCTAGCTCCCCTCGTAGCCTCCCTCCTCCTGGCAAACCCACCCCACTGGCCCTATCTGACAACGTCTCCTCCGGCATCTCTCCCCTGAGTCCCTAAACTGGCCACTTCCTCCCCACCACTAAGCCCAGGAGCCGGCCCTCCCTGTTTCTAACTCCTACTGGACTGGCCACAACTTTTGCTTTTATAGCCCTGGGTCGCATCACAGGGGTATTGCTCAACGGGACGATTCCTCCACTGTCACCGAGAGAAAAAAGTCCCTTCTGACCCTGCCTGAGCCAAGTGGGGGCGGTTCAAGGTCTCCCCTGAGGGCCACTCCCTCAGATTCCCCAAGTATCCCTTAGCCCAGCAGTGCTTTATGGGACTGAGGAGAGCTCAAGGTCGTATCTGTGAGGGGGGTGACATGAAAGAGCAGTCTTGTTTTTCTGTTGTGTCTCTTGTGTGCGGTGGGGACATAGCTCCGTTAAGAGAGGGGTTGGGTTGGAGGATGGAGGTCGAGCTGCAGCCAAGTTCCTGAATTTACCAGGGGGGTGCCGGGTCGCCTCAGGTCGCCCGCCCGCCGACGCTGAAAGAGGGGCCGGCAGAGGGTCTGGAAAATTCCATGCGGCAGCGGAAGGATCTCTGCGGAGGCGTCTCGCGCCAGCGAGCGG